GTGTGTGTGTGTGTGTGTGTGTATATATATATATATATATATATAAATTCATTATAATCTCTTAGTCCCACAGGATGGAAAGATTTTAAAAAACAGTCTATGTACCCTTGAGAAGCGAGATATTTTCTTCAAATGTGCTTTTCCAAGATTATATAAATGGAGAGCACGTTAAATGAAAAGAAAGTGTATTGAATTTTATCTGTTACATAAATAATTGAAGACAAAAGTGATGAATTTTTAAATGTGTTCTGATAATTAAAGAAATTTTTACAACATATAAAAGCAATCTAACCAAATATATTTAATAAAATGTTTTCAGTCTTTATACAAGGTTTAAATAGTTGATTGAATCTGTAATAAAAAAAATAATAATGGATCTTTCTGCCCTGTGGACCCTAAGAAAGACTTTGTAGTCATAGCAAATGTATTAAGTCAAGCCCAGAGTAGGGCAACTAAATGGTGAGGGTCAAGGTCTAAACTGCATACAATTATCCAAAAATATTTTAAAGATCCAATCCAGACTTGATCTAGGTTCCTTAGAAAAACAGGCATGCATATTACCATGACAAATATGGTCAAAAGTAATAGATTGATTTAGAATAAGTTTAGTGTGGAAATGATCATAGTCTTAAATTAATTATAATTTAAAGTTAACATACTTATTTACTTTTAATATTTGCAGTGATATAATTAATTTAGATCCAGTTAACGTTGATGCTTTGTATGTCCGAGGAATGTGTCTGTACTATCAAGATCATCTAGAAAAGGCATTTAGTCACTTTCAGCAAGTACTTAAATTAACACCTGACCATGCGAAAGCTCGTGATATTTATAGAGTATGTGTTTAAGATTAAAAAGTTTTTAAAATTAAGAAATTCAACTTCTATAATTTTGATTATTTACTTGATAGATACTATTTTGTTATATGTAGTAATGTATTAAATTTATGTTCTTAGAAAGCAAAATTATTAAAAATGAAAAAGGAAGATGGTAATACAGCATTCAAGAATGGCCAGTTACAGGAAGCTTACAATATTTATTCTAGTGCCCTCAAAATTGATGAGAATAATATATATACAAATGCAAAACTTTATTTTAACCGTGCCACTGTTAGTTCAAAGGTTTGTTCTAAAACTCCTTTTAAAGATTAATTATTTTCAGTTACGTGTTTAAAGCTAATTAGCTCATTTATTTTCCATAGATTAATAAGTTACAGCAAGCTATTGATGACTGTAATCAGGCAATCAAGTTAGATGAAAATTATTTGAAAGCATATTTAAGAAGAGCAAAATGGTAATTTATTTTATTATGGATAAACCAAAATTGTCAAAACTTTTTATGTTTAATTAAAAATTGTTTAAATTTGTAAATATATAATCTTTGCAACAACTTTTTAGTTACATGGACATGAATATGTTTGAAGAAGCCATACGTGATTATGAGACTGTGTACAAAAAAGATAAAACGAGAGGTGATTTTGTAAAAGGATTATTTTCATTTTATTTTCTTTACCAAATATTAAATAATTAGTTTATCTTATAGAGCATAAACAGTTACTTGATCAAGCAAAATTGGAATTAAAAAAGAGTAAAAGAAAAGATTACTATCAGATTCTTGGTGTAAACAAAAATGCAGATGATGATGAGATTAAAAAAGCTTATAGAAAAAGAGCATTATTACACCATCCCGGTAATTATATTTTGATAGTATAAAGAATATTACATACAATTTTATTACAAAACTTATTAAATATTTTCTTTAGATCGTCATTCAAATGCTTCTGACGAAGAAAAGAGAGAACAGGAAAAGAAATTCAAAGAGTTAGGGGAAGCATATAGCATTCTTTCCGATCCAAAAAAACGTACTCGCTACGATAATGGATATGACTTAGAAGATGGAGAAGGTGTTGCCGGTAAATACCATTCTACATTTTTACTAATTAAATTGTTACTTTCCATAAACAATTAATTTAAATTATTATATATATATAGATATAGATCCAAATCATATTTTTCAAGCATTTTTTGGTGGACCAGGAGGATTTACTTTTACTAGTTCTGGCAGTTCTGGTTATGGACAGAGTTATTCATTTCCCGGCGGATTCTCTTTTCAGTTCGGTTGAGATAAATGCACTCTATTTATTTATCATTATATAATGTACTGTATTGCAATGATTGAGATTCGAGTAAAAGAGTGCATAAACAAAAAAATAGCAAAGTGTACTTGTGTTCCCTAACCATTCATATAAAAGCTATCATTATTGCAATACGAAAATTGTCCCTTCGAAATCAAACTGCTAAAAAAAATTGTTAAAATATGAAACGACTCAACAATTTACGTAGAAACTTAAAAATGTCGAACAACAAATTTTAGATGTAAAATTTTATTATTAATTATTATTATTATTGTTATTACGGTATTATTACTATGATTATTATTGTAAACGATACTGTGATGTTCTATGCAGAAAGATATTCTTTACAAGAAGTATTCATATTTTTGTTTTTAATTACAGAACAGCATTGTTTGGTAATATATACAAGAACATATAAATTATTATGAAATATACTCTTTTAATTTTTTTTATCTACTGTTTAAATGTGGAAGTTATTAATGCTAGAAATTTTAATTTAAAAGAACAAAAGCATAATAATAACAAGAAAAGGGTAATTGTGATGAAAATATTTTCATTAAATTCTGTAAATAATTTAAGAATATATTTAAAATAGTAAAGAGAATTTATTAAGATTTTAAAAAAGGAAATTCGATAATTTTGTCCTGGATAATTTTATCCAAATGAAAGCTACTCATTTTAAATAAACTTCGATTGAAAATTCTCAAACTCCAGTGTTTAAAAATTGCTAACTCAACATAATTTTGATTCATCGAAACGGGAAAGAATAGTAAAAGTTTTCATTTTAGAGTTTTGATAAAAGTACAAAAAACATTTATTTTACTTCTACATAAAATACAATTATTTACAGCAGTTACATTTTAAAATATATAGGCTAATATAATATATAACATATTTTTCTGATTAAAAGCAGGTATATCAAGCTATGCATAATTGACTGCCAGTAATTATGTTAAGAACAAATTTCAATTTTTTTTAAAAATAAAATTGACTTAAAATCTGATTGCAAGTTCCTAGAATATAGGCTTCCCCGTACGTTATTATAATTTGTAAATTTATACATTTTTACTTAATGACAAAGAAAAAAAATTAATTTTGGATATGATAAATTGGTGAAAGTTAAATCTTTGGCACTAGAGGAAGAATAAAGAAAGGATTTTAATTTACTGTAATAATTAACATTGTATGTTTTTTCATTTTGTTCTTATTTTGATAAGAACAAAATTTCCATTATGTAAATAAATTATGCATAAGTTATAATTTGTGTGTAATTTTTTTTATCGGTGAAGCTAAGTAGTTATGGAATAATATGTTTAAAATTCCACATGCTAGTCAGAGAATTAATTTTTGATACTCATAGTAACTCTCGTCTAGAATTTTACTTACAAAAGAAAGTAATATTGGCACTGTTTATAATATAGTATATTTATATACACTAAGAAATTTTATTGTCACACTAGTAGCCTTATCTTGTCATACTCAGATTTTGTATATTACAATTCCTGTATAGTTCACATAATAAAGTTTTATGGAGAAACATCTAGTTAACAAAAATTTCTAATAAAAACATAAAGTAAAACTTCTGTGCTGTAATCTCCTGAATTATTATTTATTGAAATCATAGTTGCACACTTCTATTGCAACAATAAATGGCGCATTGCCTATCATGAAACAGGCAGTCTCGGATAAATATCAGTCCGTAGCCTGTTCTAGAACAAGATATGTTGTGCTACACTTGTTCCTTCAGATTTTTTTACCGTTATCAATATTTATTTTTTTAAGAAAAACTGCTCTAAATGCAAGAATAATAATAATAAACTATGCAAATACAGTGATATCTCTCACAATTTGAACCTTCAGAGTTTGAATGCCAAATTCAACAAAAATTTGCTTTGGAGTGTGCTGTGCTTGTGTTGAGAATGAAAAATGCACTCTTCAAAGCTACTTAACAAAGAATATAATCTCAAATTAGCAATGAGTTCAAATTCACAGCTGTTAAAAATACACAAACTTTCTGTTCAACCCAATATAACCTTTACTTATTAATCATGGCATTTGAGAAGTATGTGGAAGCAACAAAGTATAACTAGTAAGAGGAAGGCTTGAAAAAAGGAACTTGCAGCAAAACAGGAAAGCAGTACACAAGGCTGATCTGGCATCCATGTTTAAGATGCTAAAGTTGATAATGTGCAATCAGTAAATGCAAGTTTTCACTTTGTTATACAGTATTTGCACATTCTATTTGTTTTCGTGTTAGTTTATTATTATGCGGATCTAATTGTGTTATTTTTTCCTTAAATTATGTATTTGCCAATTTTAAGTTTATTGTTTAGGGTCCTGGAATTGATTAATTCACTTTCAGTTGTTTATAATGGGAAAAATTGCCTCAAACTCCAAATTATTTGGAGTTTAAATGGCCTCCTGGAATGAATTAAATTCAAAGTACGAGGCACCACTGTATACAGGAGCAAAACACATGATCATTATTAGAAAATCTTTACATCCACATGTTTCATCACAGATTTTGTTGTCACAAAAAGATGCCCGATGGAACAGACTTTACTTTTAAGATAGTGCCTCAGTTATATCATGAAGTCCACAGGAGGCTATCCTGATTGCCCAAACACTGTTGCATTCTGGTTGGAAGAGAACCCATCACCTAAAACCATAACAGTATTGTGGGATACATATTGGGTGTTAAAATGATGTCGAAACTTGTGGTAAAATTGGTTTTTACAAATGTTTCTACTGTATCAACATGCTCCTGTACAGGACCAGCACTGTGATCACTCAACTCCAAGTAGTGTGCAGCAGAATATACTAATGTCACTAGTGCCATCTTATGGTAAAATTTGTAATATAATCATAACCTAACAACAACATTAATTTCTTAAATATAGTGCTGGATTTTTATCATTTTAATGTTTAATAATAATATTAAATGATTAAATAAACAATGTTTTTTTTAACATTTTAAATGACCATTATTAGGCATATTCTAAGAACTAAGCAATTCAAATAAGTGTTGGATATTCCATTCAAAATATTTTAATCATGGTATGAATGAATAAAAAAAATCGTATGGCTAACATTAATCCACAGAATATTTATAATGCATTGACTCATTTTAGTTGAAGCCTAAAATGTAAGTAATGACAATTTTTATTTTGTTTAAATTTATCTATGCCCATCCTGTATTAGAAAAGGTTGGCAACTATTGATTCAGAATTTATAGACTGTTTTCTCCCTTTTTAGGGATAAAACTAAATATTTAATCTATCATGGATTTCTTCTAACAATATTGTTATATTTATGAAAATCTTATTTCACTTGCTTGTTGATAGCATATGTATACTACTGTATATGAACTATTCCAGATAACATGCAGAGTTTGATCAAAATGTGTCATTTTTTGTCATTTAGTATGACTTTCCTCAACATCTAGCAGCAATCCATACATCATAGGCCCACCAGTGACCAAGTGGTCTTCGTACCCTGAACACTGGGAGTTTGGTCGTGGGTTCGTGCCTCGCTCAGACGGGCTGGCCATGTGAAGTTTCCAAGTTTTCTCCACATCTGTAATGCCTAAATAGGTCTTTTTAAAAGAAACTGGCCTCTCCTAGAAGGCATCCTCCCCAGGCAGATTGCCGAAATGTTGTGTTGCCATAACTTAAACCAACAACAACAACCATACATCACAGTCTGTTTTCGTTCACACACAAAACAAGCATTTATTTGCAAAGAATTTTTGCACCAGTAATTTTTCAAAACGTCAAGTGTAATTGAGCAAAAAACATGCATTAAATTTTATTTTTGCAATGAAATTACTGCTACAAAAATGTTGGAAATTTGCAAAAAACCTTTGGTTGATGAAAGTCTATCAAAGAGTTTGAGAGGTACAAGATGCTTGAAGGCAGAAAATGTGTTGAAGGCAAACCATGCTCTGGTAGACCATCCACTTCTGATGAACAACACATTGCTCAAGTTAGAGATTCGGTGCTTGATGATCATCGTATACAATTAGGAGCACCATTTAATATGTCCCAGTATAATTTGGATCTTGTCAAGCAATTTTAAAGATATTTGGGCTTGTGGCATGTTGTCCCAAAAATGTTGAATTTTCTCCAAAAACATGTTCCAAGTGCTTGAGGAAATTTCTTGTGGGGAAGCATTCTTAAAATGCATCATTACTAGTAATGAAATGTGGATCTACTTTTGATACCAAAACAGCTGGACAATTGAGTGAATGGTGCTCAAAAGATGAATTGAGACCAAAAATATGATGTCAAAGTCAGTCAAAAATTGAGGTTGTGTTGATTGTTGTGGTGCTGTGCATCATCATAAATTCCTTCTGACTGGCCAGACTGTCAGCAAAGAATATTATTTGAGCATTTTGCATCATTTGCATGAAGCAATTCATAGAAAACAACTGATTTGTAGCAAGAAAACTCTGCAACTTGCACCATGATAATGCTCTTTTTGCTCATGAATTTTTGGCAAAAATTAAACAAGTATTCAAGCTCTATTTATCCGATGTGGCATCGTACAACCTTTTCTCATTTCCTTGACTAAAAGCATGTTTTGAGAATTGGAAAAAACATTGGCATAAGTATATTGCAGTGGGAGAGGTTTGATTTGAAGAGGACAAAATGAATTTTGATGAATATATTCAAATTTTGCATTTTATTGAACTATTCTGATACCTTTTGATCATGGTAAATTTTATACCAATTGAGACAAAGTAAATTGGAAAGTGCCTAATGTATGTAATAGCAATGTAACAATTTACAGGCACTAATGACCATTTGAAATGTATATCCTAAAGATTTATATAAATTCAATTATGATTTATCTAATTGATACATTTGTAGAAAAATTCTGCATCATACACATCTAGTATCATTAAATAAAGGAGATATTTAATTATAATAATACATTGATAATTAATGTCAAGACAAAAGGTGTTGCTGATATTTAAACAAAGCAAATTGAGCCTCTTTATAAATGGTCAGATGGTACTTGGACAATGTGGAAGTCTGTAGGATGTTAAGGATTGAAATTTCAATTTCACAGCATCCTAAATTTGTTTTGGTAATATACTTGAGGTTTCCTTTCAAATCTACCATGTGTAGATTTGAAAGTCACCTGGCACCAAGGCCAGAAAGGTCAATAGTGCCAAGATCAACCGGAAGTCAAAAGACGGGAGACCAACCTATGCAATACCCTTCTATCTGAAAATCTGTGGGATAGTTGCAGCCTCTTTGACAGGTCCGGCAGCTGCCACATATTGCCAAATCAACTGAAGATGAAGCAATTTCTTTCTTAAAGTCCCAGAGACCAACAGTACTCAGAAAATCCAGGCAATGGTAATCCAAATCCCCAAGAGTGAAAGCCGAAATTAATCTAAAGTGCACATCTGGCCAACAAGTTTTGTAATTTTCAAAACTGGCAAGCATGAATATTTAAAAACTTTCTTGTAGCTCAGAAATGAAAGCAATTTTTCTCTTGACACAAAGCACAATTATAGTTAAATGCTTGATCTAGAATTTTAGATTAGAACATAAATTAATCATTTAGCATACAAAATATCCGTTAACCTTTGGATGTGATGTTTACTAAATTGTTTTTAAAATTTAAGTAAAAATAACCAGCAGAAAATCAAACACAAGTTTATAATTTTTATAAAGAACTACTGCTTTTATTGAACATCCATGTAAAAAACATGCATATCATATTTTCTCTGTTTTCATAAAGACAATTTTATACAAATGAATAGAAAACATTTTATCTTAAACATTAATATAACAAAATAGAATACACACAATTATAAAGTAAACATTTGCACATAAGTAAACTATATTACAATAATTTGTACCAAATATGATCATTATTCTATTTTAATTTTCCTTTTTTTTTTACACGCCGGCTTTCAAACTCCACAATATGCAGGGATAGTACAAAGAAAATTTTCTACGAATGCCACAGAGCAATTGGATTAAAGTAAATGCACCCCTTAAATTGGAAGAAGAATTAGTTCTCTCAGAACGGTGTAGTTTAAGACGGCATACCCGTCATCAATCTTCCAGTTTCCAGAAACTTGTTAGAATATAGCAAAGAATATTTCAGTTAGTGAATTTATGCACGGAAGCTTTAATGTAATCAAAATTTTTACACTCTAAACTGCAAACTTGAGTGAATTTATTTAAATTCATCTCCAATTTATAACTCTAATGGAAAGATAATTTAAATTATAAATACATATTAAAAACAGCAAAGTCTCTTTTTCTTCATCTTCAATGGTGAAGAAAACTTTTGGAAGAAATGATATACTTAGTTGCATAAATTCTAATCCTAGTTTGATGGTCAGTTCTTAACAGAAAGCAAATTACAAGCTTGGTGATCAATTTATCATTGGAATTATAATACAGTGAAACCCAAATAAAACAGAAAAATTCTTTGGAACAGAGCAATATTTCCATATTTTAAAAAACACCATTCAAAATGGAAACCTGCCAAACTGAAAAAAATATTTGGTACCATATGATCAAACTTACACAGGTTTTACTGTATTTATAAACTAAGGAAACATAGAATTTTGATTTTATATGTGCCAAAATATACAAAAGTAATTAGATACTCTAGAACGGGTGGCCAACCTGCGGCTTTTTGAAGGATTATTTGTGGCTCTCAATAAATGTACCCGAGTTCCCTTTTCATTTTTGTGTTATTATATTTTTAAAAAAATTATCATCATTCCGTATGTGTTTCAAGATGTTTTTTAAATTATTAACAACAAATATGAAAGACTAACTTGCAAGTGCAACGTTGTAACAAATTTCATTTCTGTCCAAGTTAAGAATGATATGACTCATCGAAAACTGTGCGAACGAACATAAACAGTGGCGCAATCGTCCGTTATCGACCGACTCCAGACCGATTTTGAATTTGTAAACTTTCATTGCAACGGACAGTTGACATTGTGCTCTGAAGGAAACAATTTGTATCACTCTTGCTACAGATATAATTTGTAATCTGGAATTTTTTGCATACCTTTTTAATACGTATTTAATTGCGGCTCGCGAAAAATTTCAAATTTTGAAAAATGGCTTGCACTATCAAGGAGCTTGGCCACCCTGGCTCTAGAAGAAATTACAGTGGTACCTCAGTATACGTCTGTTTTAGAATATGTCCTGTTTAGATGAAACAAATTTTGCTTGTTATATGACTTGTTCAGTATAAGACTTAATTCAATTTATATGCGTTATCTATGAACAAGTAGCACTATCGGTGTACTAGACCAGACTAGATGTTCACGGTGCCACAGTTTATAACTGTTAAATTTCTTCTGATTTTAATTTGTAAGTAAAATTTTATTATTTTATTAATCATGAATTGCAAAAAGGCAAATGAAAAACAACAGAAAACTAAAAAAATGACTAGAATCACAATGGAACTGAAAAAAGAGATTGTTGAGAAATATGAAGGTGGCACGCGTGTTCGAGATTTTAACTGTTGCATACCGTATTCCGAGAACAACGATATCGACAATCATGAAAAATAAAGACATTTATTAAATCTGCTAATGTTGCAAAAGGGGTTAAATCAATTTCTAAACAGACATTAGATCATGTTGAGAAATTGCTTTTGCTTTGGATAACTGAAAAACAGTGTGCTAGAGACAGCATATCAGAAGCAATTATTTGCAAGAAAGCTAAAAAAATACATGCTGTCATGAAAAATCAAGCAGGAACTAGCCAGCCAGGAAAGCGAGGTGTTTAAAGCCAGCCATTTTCTTTTTTTACATGACAATGGATTAATCATTTTTACATTACTTCTTATGGGAAAGGTTGGTTCAGTATACATCCTATTTGGTATAAGTCCAAACACCAGGAACGGATTAAGGTCGTATACCGAGGTTCCACTGTATTAGTTTATTTTTACTGTATCGTCACACAAGTTTACAAGTTTCTAGGAGACTTAGAAACTGAACCAAGAAGAATGTGGAAGTGGACCATTTACTGTGGAAGAAATAAATGGAATTTAAGAGAATATCATCAAACTGATTTTTAAGGAATAAATGAATAAATTTTCTGTGGCAATAGAGACCAAATGGCACTGTAAATGGCAACTGGAGCGGCTGTTTACACACTTATTCCAAAATTAAAAAAGTTATAACAAATATAATATTTAACTCCAAACATTAGAATAAAATCTTAGAATATTAAGATTTTATTCTAATGTTCTACTATTGATTACATTCAGAGCTGCATTTAATTTGATGTTAATTTAGATGGAGCGATGGAAACTTCAAAATCTTCCGTGCACCATTAAAGGCTGTTTTTTATGGTGTCTATTTTTAGTTTTGAATCGGCCGAAGATATCTTAATAAGTGTCTTTTTTATTCTTAAGGCGGTAAGTCTGGCCGACGGATTCGGATGCCAGCACTCCTTCATTAATCTCGACATAGCGTTTAATGTCTAAAACAAAGGAAAAGTAATCCAAATTAACAGAGAGAAGTTTGTTTATATTAAAGACTGAACAGGCACAACGTACCGGATCAAAAGCCCATCTGTTTGGAATGGTAGGACGTCTTCCATCTATGCAAACAACTTTCCTCATGTCTTCAAAACTAGGATCATTTGGAACCATATCGAAGTAAGGTGGTTTATACGGTTCAGCAATACCTTTTGAGGAATAAGAGAAATATTCAATTTTTCATTTAAAATTTTTGTAAAGAAGTAAGAAAATAACCAGTGAAATTATTCTTATTAAGTAAAATTTAGCAAAACTTATCTTGAAAAAAATAATTAAGTTTTGGTTAATGATATTAATATTATTGTGCCTAAATATTTAAATACTAAACTAAAGTAAACAAAATTAATAAAATCTAAACTTTTGAATTACAAAATCTTGTTTAATTGTACAGGCAATGACAGTCTTTGCCAAAGAATAATGCAACCATTGTGGATTTTATGCTAATATAAACTAAGGACTACCTGGATGATGGTACAACCAAATCACCATTATCCAGGCAGTTCTTAGTGTACCTGTTGAAGAGAATAATGGTTACATCATTTCCTAATAATATACATAAATGATGTCTTCTTAGATTGACAGCTCAGGTGTTGGGGAGGACCCATTTTGAGGTGTTAGGATATTCTTCCACTTGTTCAATCTATAGTTATGCTCCTTCAAGAGCCAGATAATAAGGAGTTAGGAATCAGCAGATAAGGTTGAACAGCCCAATGGAGTAACTTAGGAAGGGGGTGAAAGTTGTTGCTATCTGCCTTGGTTCTCTAGGAATTTGTGGCAGCAGTGTAGCTCTGTTGTGCAAACTGGAACCCAAGCATCTCTGTTTTGCTCGCAATCTCAATGGTTCTTGCTAAGACCTCATCTGCTAATGATTAAGCTTACATACTCTGTAGTTCTATTTGTAGTGTAAATGAAAAGTCACTGAGACACCATATCAAACAGTCTCTCATGGAAGTAAGGCCACAATGTTAACTGAAAGTTCAAATGGTTGAGATAACCGTTGTTTCCTTCAATAGAGGATGGAAATCGACCAATTACACCATTGTTCGGTGTAGTTCTGATTTACTGTGCATTGACATAAGATCCATGATGACTGCATTTTTCATTTCTGTAACAATCATTTGAGTAGAGATGTTTGTGAAGTTATAGTACACAGTAAAAAAAATATAATTAGTGATTACTGATCCTTGAAAAACTGCATGTTATGTTACAATCTAACAATTGTTAATAATTCTGGTGTAGCCATTAGGTGTATTTAAAATTCATATTTAATTTGTTTTACCAACATCACAATCCATTCCAGGTACTTAATCTTGAGTTATGTGAGTAACAAACATGAATGTGTTGAGGGTGTCACAAACTTGTTCAGTGAATGGTCTGAATGAGTTAGTACCACATGAGATTTCTCAACATGTTCATGTTATTATTCACATAAAATCAAGCCTAGATAGTCTGACTAAAAAACATTGAATAAATTATCTAAATGAGAAAATTTACAACTATTTAACATTTAACTGTAACATTTATTAAACAGTTGTAAAATTTCACATGAACAAAAAATTGAAAATAAATTTTTATATCATTTCATCGTTAACTTATTCAATTCCTGGATAAAAGTTTTAATAGTTACAAAGAAGAATGATTTAGATTAATTTAAATCTGTTGCATAAAATATTAATTAAAAAATAAACAAATTACCTCCACTTAAACATCTCCAGCATATTTCCCAAAAAACAAGACCAAATGCATAGATATCCAGTCTGCGATACGATTCGAAAACTTCTGCACTTAAAGTTTCGTCAAGAACTTCTGGTGCCATGTATCGTTTAGTGCCAACTCTGTGATTATTACCTACATTTAAAATGTCCGTAGTTTGAGTATGAGTTACTGCAAGACCAAAATCGGCAATAGCACAAGTCCCATCATTTTTAACAAGTATATTTTTTGTCTAGAATAGAATTATTACAATTAATTAAAAATTCATGAAATATGATTTTCATGAATGATTATATTATTTACCTTAATGTCTCTATGAGCTATAGCTGGCTTTCCTTTTGTACCATGTATTTCTGTATGAAGATGTACCAATCCCGATACAGCAGAAAGAACAAGTGTCAACATCTCGTTTACAGTAACAGACATTGAATTTAAATGATCATACAATGATCCTAGCACATGATAATGAGTAACTAACCACAGCTGAGTACAAGAATTATGAGACGTTACATCTGAACCAATGTAACCCAAAATGTTAACATGACGCAGCATGACAGTGCTGTAAATTTCTGTTTCGCGCACCCAAGATGCTTCATCACGAGAAAAGAAAATCTTCACTGCAACATTTTCTCCTTGCCAAATTCCTCTCCACACTTCACCATATCTTCCTTTTCCTGAAATAAAATTTTAAATTTATTCACTTCTGAAATTATTGGAAGGAATAATTTCATAAAATTTTGTTTCACAAGTGACAACTGACTCTTACCTATGCATTCCACTAATTGTATATGTCTTGCTAATGTCCTTTGAATCAATAAAGGAAGTCCAGATCCACTTCCTGATGTCACAGAAGCATCAAATATTTCCTACAGAATGAAATTAGAAACATGAAGAATTTTCAAATCATCATAATCAAATAATTATTTAACATTTTGCATACTCTTAAAGAGTTATCATCATTTGTGCCCGTCTTCAGCTCTTCGCAATAATAATCATGATTTGGGTCCAACAGAGAACCCATATTTTTGTTGCATCTTCTTTTCATTATATAAATTACAATTAATAAAACACCACAAACAAAAATAATTGGCAACAATATATACAACATCAGGTTAATTGTAGTCCAAGATGATGTTATGGCTTGATCTTGTGCTATAAAAAGTTTTAAGCATGTTAAAATAATTATATCACATTATGATAATATATGTAATCAATAAACACACCAGTTGCTTTTGCAGTTAACAAGGGAAAAGATCCATTGTTACACAGATTCCCCCGACAACATTTACCACTGTACTGTCCAGAAAATTCTTTTCTTCCTTCATGATGAGCCGTGCTACAGAGCATCATCAACCATTCTGGCTTAAACAGACAGCCTTTTTGACGACGCTGTACACCGTAAGCATCATACACATTGTAACTATAACACTGAAGAGGGAAAAAGTGATAATGATCTCAAAACTTCAGGTAAATTGATAGAGAAATTGATACCTACCATCAAAGCATTTTCACATATTGTGACATCTTCACACACATCATCTATACACATATACGAATAACATTGGAAATGTGATGATTCATTTCTATTCATGTTTTTATCTGTTTTAAAAAAGATATTATTAAGTTTTGTTTAATAACAAAAAAAATATTAAAATAATACTGTATTTGCCATTAATTTACACCATTATAGCACTCTAACTTTGATACTATTCTGACATTTAATAGTAAAAGATTAAGTATACAAGGTCTGTTCAAAAAGTATCGGACTTTTTTTTTTCGCGTAAACCAATGATGAGCGAGAGGCCTCCTTTGGTGGAGTTGTGGAGGGGACAGTCATGCACAGCCCTGAAATTTTTCCCGCCTGCAGGAAGCGTAAGTCCTTGGCAATCGGCCTATGAGTGAGGTCATGTAGTGCGCTCTCGTCAGATTCCACTAAGCTGGAAAATGACTGAACAACGTGAGCAGCGATATTACATCAAATTTTGCCAAAAACCTAATGTAAATCATTTGCAAGATTCAGCAGGCTTTCGGGGATGATCCTCAAGGCCAAAAAAAGCGCGGCAGGTCTGCAGCAATATCAAAGGTCGTGTTGACAGTTTTTTCGACTCTCGTGGGGTGGTGTGTCGTGAGTACGCACCACAAGGCCAAACCATCGCAAAGGAGTACTACCAGGAGATCCTTCGTCGTCTTTCCGATACAGTGCGATGCAAACGACCGGATCTGTGGTCGATCAAAACTTGGCAGCTCCATCGTGATAACGCATCCGCCCATTCTGCGCATCTGATTCGAGCTTTCGTCGCCAAACACAATACTCCTGTGGTTCGTCACGCTCCGTACTCTATCCACATGGCTCCGTGTGACCTTTGGCTATTTCCCAAGCTGAAAATGCCTCTAAAAGGAACCCGAATTTAGTCGAGAGAAGACATCGTGCGAAATGCGACGGACCGGCTGATGGCCATTCCAGAGAATGCGTTCCAGCAGTGTTTCCAGCAATGGCAGGAACGCTGGGAGAAGTGTATACATTACCAAGGAGACTACTTTGAAGGGGATTAGGGTTTTGTACCTCAAAGTCAATAAATTTATTTTTACCGACCAAAGGTCCGATACTTTTTGAACAGACCTTGTATTATATATTGGAAGCATTGGCCTAAATGAAGCAATAAATTAAACAGAATCAGAGAGAAAACATTGGCATGTTTTATTATGTTGTTAATCTTAAATAATGATTTAAAAATTCTACTGTTCATTTTTTGGTCTTATCGGAAATAATGTACAGGTATCCCTCGTATAATAATGTAGTTATGTTCTGAAAAAGTGCCATGTTATGTGAATCTGCACTATATGAAACAAAGGACTAGTGCAGAGCATAGGATTAGGTTCCAGAAGTTAACAAAGGTATACTATTCTTTTTCATTACTAAGAGACATGTTTATTAAAGCAATCAATAATTAACTAACAATCACAATTAAAAGTACAGTATCAAGTATTAATACCAATTTTAATTAAACTAGGGCATTTTCTTTTTACAAAGTATCATCATCATCTGAGCTTTTTTGATGATCTTGATCAGAAATATCAAAAAATGCCTTCATTTTTTTATTTTTACCATACTTTTTATTTTGTCATTATGTAAAAAATTTTTATGTTATTAATTGAAAATTTGTTCTAGCAGTTCACATTTATTCAATTGAGGATCAAGCAATTTATTTTTCAGAATTTGTGTTTGAATACCAAAATTGTTCAAGTTAGGAACGGTTTGAGTACTGAGATACCACTGTATTTCGTTTGTCATTTTTATGAATGATTACTTACCTGTGGTTGAAAAACAGTTTAAAAACTTTATTTAGTGTTATTAAATGATTTTAGGTAAATTTTCTTATTTAGAAAATTAAAAATTAATAAAATTAATGTATAAAAACTAAAAACAATGAGTCTTAAGGGCTAAAGTCTGAAAGCAACAACAACACTATCTGGTTGATAGGAAAGCTAGGGCAAGGAAGAAACAAATTACACTATCAGTTTTCATTAAAGTAAACCTGACGAACAGCATAAAATCAAATGAAAATTTCAATATTCTAAAATTCATGGACAAATTTGAAACAGCACGCAATGCTTACTTGAATAAAAAAAATATTAAATAATGGAGTTTGCACTTAAAAGTTTTGAAATTTGTGTGAAATTATATTAGAGCAAAACTGGAAAGCATGTTGTACAGAGGATATTCCCAATTTTCAAACTGTTTTAGAAGTGGCATGTTGTATGAGGGATAACTGCACCATTAAAATCAGAACTGGGATGAAATCTGCTATAAAACTGCTAACTCAAACATCTGCTGGTCAAAACTAATAAATTATGTTTTTCTATTTTCAAATACAATTACCAGTATTTCTCAAATTACCTAGTAATTTTTCAAATTTAATATAAACCAAAACTTAAAACAGAAATTCAGAAAACAAGAATAAATGATACTTCTTCAATACATTGATGCAGAGCCAACAACACACAAGAGCTGCCATTGTTCCAAAAAAAGATAATACCTAGTCACAAACAGCTTGCATTTCCCAAGAGTGCCTTTATGTAGTTGAAACCATTCCTTGGCCAGCCAGATCACAACACCTCTCTCTTCAGTTAATCATGTCTGGGATATATGAATATGCCAACATATAATTTGTAAATAATCATTAAATTGGAAAATTGAAATTATTTTTATACTTATCAACTGACCATAAATGCAATAACTATAACATGGAATAACTGTCATGTTTAAACTGAAAAAATTTGTGCACTAAATTTTATACACATTGAAATATAACAGAATGTAGAATCGTTTCTTTGCTTGAAGTAATAACTAAACTACTGAATAGTGCAATAACTAATATCCGATATATTAGAAGTTTGTGATGAAGACGATAAAAATCAAATATGAAGTTAAATTTAATATAGAAAAATTTTGATTATCTAAATTGTCATAAATTTTTACTTGGCATAATTCTTTTACATCTCAGATGTTTTTATCAATTGTTTTTGTTTAATAATTATATTATTTTACATCAAGACATACAATTGGTCAGCACTCTGCAACTAAACACATTTCCAACTGACGCTTCCGGTACACCATTTAGAAAAATCATTATAAAAAGTTTTAATTTGCATAAATTTGAGTTTTTGTAATTCTGAGTAACATTTTGAATAAAATTCATTTGTTTCCATGCAATTTTATCCTTATAAACAAAAAATGAAGCCATAAAACTGAATTAGCTCTAAGGGGAACCCCTGTGAACTTTGACTTATCAATTTGGAAGTTTTGCGAACACCTTGCTGATTATAAGAAGGCCTTAAGTTTAAAATTTGAGCTTTCTACACCCAGTAGTTTTTTCTCTACAAGCATCTGCAGTGCGAGATGAAGAAAAATAAGAAAATACAGCTTTTTTGGTGATTTTTGCACTTTTCAATTGCTTATATTTTGGCAATCACTTTATAGAAAATCTTGAAATTTTGCAAACTACCCAAGAAAACAATTGTCTTTTGAACAAGATATTTGGAATTACTTCAGGTGTTTGGGGACAGAGAAGTCAATCCCCAAATGTTTTATTCTGTATATGTATATTTATGATGATATTTTGTTTTAAATAAAAATAAATTTCTTAACAGAACTGCAACTTCTAATGGTGGATATTCCTCAAAAATTCAAAACATTATCTGTTACAGGAAATTCTTAAAATATTTGGAATTTGTGTATTTTTAGTATGAAGTTACCTTTAATCACCATATGGGTCTATATATACATAAACATTAATATTAAAAAATTTTAAAGATTATAGCATTATTATAGGAATTCAAGCACAAAGCTCATCATGTCAGAACAATTCCATTTAAAAAAAAAAAAAGCTGAAATACCTTACATAATAAATCTAGCTACAATATATTCACTTCACTCACTTATTTGAAATTAATTCTTATAGAAAATATAGTAATATTATAGCTATTTTCAAAAATAAAATAAATTAGTGGATATTAAAACAGGATCAAAATAAATCTAATCTAACATATGATGCTGAAATTTGTAAAAGTGTGAGGGGAAAAAAAGAATAGATATAAGAGAATATAACACAAAAATAAAAATACACAAAACAATTAAAACAATAATAGCATGAAAATATTGAGGAAAAATATGATAAACAAAAAGAAAAAACTAATTATAGCAAAATCAAGGAGGAGATAAAATATCTTTTATAGTGATTTATGATATCTTGTCTGTGTAGATTTTATCAGGAGTTATATGATGACGATAGCTCCAAAAACAATTCACTTCAGGAATCAGAATATCCTAGCCTACCTTGAACAATAACAATCAAAGAACTAGATACCTTAAAGCAGATGAAAAATAATAAGCCAGGAGTTAAAGATGATATTGTTATTGACCTTATTAAATTTGCTGGAAAAAAATTTACCCATTTATCTTAAATCTCTGCTTTGAAAAATGAAAAAATCCCAAGTTAACATATAATGCAGTGCTTATTTTATTTTTTTAAAAAGGAATAAAATATATTAAAACTATAAATTAGTTGTTTGTGTACTTGTTAAAAATGTAGATATTGTAATAGTTCCTTAAGTATTTTTAAAATATAAGTTGTATATTGATATTTTAATTTTTACTCCTTTTTTAAAAAACTATGATATTTGACTATAAAAATTATTTTAATTAATTAATACTGAATTTTATGTAACTACAAGTACACCTAAAACATCTATTATGTAAAAGAATGTTCTATGGTAAATATATGATTTGCAGAGAAAAAAAGAACACTAAAATGCTACTTTTTATAACAGACATTAATCAAAATGTTGTGTATCCTTTCAGTAAGTGTAAATTTTAAAATTTATTCCATTAAATAAGCATAACTTTATCATCACTTAACAAATTTTTTCATTTGTTCAATAGTCTGAAGAAACATACAGGCCAAAACAGGCAATAACTTTTGGATAAATGTTCCTAATGCTATTGTGAGTTTTGTTGAGATGAAAATAAAGGAAACTATTGATTTTGATATTCTTCAAAATTTGTTAAAGCAGTTCATCATCCATTTAGAAGACTTTTA